TTGATTAATTAATTAATTTATTTATTCATTCATTCATTCATCCATGTATTAATTCACTCATCCATCCACCCATCTAGAGCCACGTATTTTTTGTAATGGAGTTCGTGAATGGAGGTGACCTGATGTTCCACATACAAAAGAGTAGCTACTTTGATCACGAGAGAGCTTGCTTCTACACCGCTGAAATCGTTTCGGCCCTGCAGTTCTTGCACTGCCATGGAATTGTTTATAGGTGTGTGTTTTGGTGTGTGTGTGTTTTGGTGTCTGCATGGGTGTATGTTTTGGTGTCTGTGCGTGTGTGCGTGCGTGTGTGCGTGTTGTATGTTAGCGTTGTAACGGCCAACAACATTCTAACTTATTCCAGCCAACAACAATTTATTAACAGTTTATCAACATTTCATTAACAATTTATTAACAAATCATCAACAATTCATTAACAATTTATTTACAATTCATTAACAGTTCACCGACAATCACAACCTGCATATCCGACAAACAAACAAACAAGCAAACAAACAAACAAACAAACACCAAACATACAACAAACAAACAAACCAATCACAGGGATTTAAAGCTAGACAACATCATGCTGGACAAGGAGGGTCACATCAAGGTCACGGACTTCGGGATGTGCAAGGAAGGGGTCACGGGGGGTCAGACCTGCACCACCTTCTGCGGCACTCCAGATTATATCGCTCCGGAGGTAAGTTGCAAGGTGTTGGCAGAAAGAGATAGAGAAAGAGAGAGAGAGAGAGAGAGAGAAAGAGAGAGAGAGAGAAGAGAGAGACAAATAGATGAGTGGATGGATATATGAATGGATGAATTGAAGAATGGATAGACGATTTTAAAAAATAAACTTCTTGCTGTACGACTATAGATAATTAACGGGCTAAAGTATACAAGGGCAGTGGATTTTTGGTCACTCGGGGTTCTAGTTTACGAGATGTTGATTGGTCAGTCGCCCTTCCAGGGCGATGATGAGGAGGATTTGTACTACAGCATCTGCAACCGGAAGCCATTCATCCCTAGGCATCTCAAACAGGATGCAAGCTCTTTCATCACGCAGGTCGGTGTTTGTTTGACTCGGCTACGTGGAGTGTGTGTTGCTTGTGAGTTTGTTAGTTTGTGTGTTTTAAATGTGTGCTTTGTGTTGCGCGCGCGTGTGTGTTTGTGTGTGTGTGGGTGTGTGTATGTTTGCATGCGTTTGCTTATGTGTATGTGTAAATTGTGACTTTGCAGTATTACTTAGTAAGTAAAATTTTCATTTTATTTAGTAGACGCAAATACTAAGATTTGATTGATTAATTAATTAATCAAATCATTTGTTCATTCAATCATCAATCGACCAATCATTAATTTGTTCCTTTATTTATTAATTCATTTAATCAATCATTCATCCACACATTTATTCATTCATTCATTCATTCATTCATTTATTCATCCAAAAGTTGCTGGAACGAAATTCGGAACTGAGACTAGGTATGTCAAACTGCCCGCACGGACCCATCAGGTGCAACTATGTGTGAACATGTAATTGTAGTGTAATGATTAAAGTGCCTGGTTCTTCTCTGTATGTGTGTGTGTATATGTGTGTGTGTGTGTGTGTGTGTATATATGTCTGTGTGTGTGTGTGTATGTCTGTGTGTATGTCTGTGTATGTGTGTGTGTGTGCGTGATTATTTTGGATGAATAATTATTTTTTCTCCTCTAGGTGTCACCCGTTCTTCATAAGTATCAATTGGGACAAGCTCGAGAAGAGAGAATTGAAACCTACATTCGTTCCTACTGTTGTAAGTGATAGATGGATGAATGAGTGGATGAATGGATAGATGAATGGATGGATGAATGAATGGATGGATGAATGATTGATTGATTTGCTTGTTAAACATTTATTCAATCTCGTTCGCATGTCCGTTTATTGATAAATTCTTACATCTACCCGTCCAATCATCTATAATTCATTTATCCATTTCATCATTCACACGCTCACTCATTTACTCATTCGTTCACTCACACACTCACTCATCATTCATTCATCATTCACTCACCCATTCATTCACTCACACACTCATCATTCACTCATTTATCCATTCACTCCCTCACTCATTCATTCATTCTTTTACTCACTTACCCAGAAATCGGCCAAAGATTTGGGCAATTTCGATAGAGACTTCACTACGGAAAACGTAAAACTGACGCTACCTGACTCTAAAGATTTGAAAGACCTCATCGACACCATTGACCAAGAACTCTTCAAAGGCTTCAGTTTCGTAAGCCCTGCCATGGGGGAAGTTCTTTGAGGTAGGAAGGCCTGATCCTGATGATGATGGAGATGATGCTGAGGATGATGATAATGATGATCTCACTGCTGCTGCTGCTTCTACTTCTGCTGCCGTTGCTGTGGCTACTACTACTGCTGCTACTGATGGTGTAGTTGTGGATGATTTCAAAGATGCCCTTGATACAATTGATAAGCAACTTCATAAAGGATTAAGTGTTCAAAGCCAGCTAATGTGAAAGTTGTTTGATGTGATGATGATGATGATAATGATGATGATGATAATGATAATGGTGATGGTGATGAACAGGTGGATGATGGTAATGATAATGATGATGATGATTTTCGTTAGTGAGAGTAGTTTAAAATTGTTAGTACGTTAAAAAGTTGATCACATTATAACTGTATACCTATTTTAAATTGTGTGGTGAAAGTTGTTATTATCATAATTTATTATTATTAGTATTATTATAATTATTATCATTAATTATTATTAATTAATTAATTATTATTATTATTACTTTAACATTTTCATATTGTAAGATTTCCTGAGTTCTATCTACTTGTTATATCATATGATGATGCTGCGTATGTGTGTGTGCGTGTGTGTGTGCGTGTGTGTGTGCGTGTGTGGTGTGTGTGTGTGATGTGTCTGTGTGCGTGTGTGTGCTTTTGTGTGTGTGTGGCTGTATTATAAAGACAAGCTTTATTTGAATTATCAAATCTTTTATCTAATTTCAATAAATGAAATTATATATATATCTGTGTAACTTTTATTCAATTAAATTAAATTTTAAATAATAATAGTAATAAACTTATTATAATTTTTATTTTATTTACATATTATATTTTATCTATATCATCTATTTTTGGTGTCGTCATCGTAATCGTGCTCACGTGACTATATAAACACACACACACAAACACACGCACACATAAAGACACATAGACACACACATACGCATAAATACATGTAGATAATATTATATATTATTTAAATATTTTAGCCCATCCATTATAAATATTTTTTAAATTTTTAGTATTGTATTAAGTTTGTGTGTGTGGGTGTATGTTTGTGAATATGTGTGTGTGAATGTGTGTGTAAATGTGTATGTGTGAATGTGTGTGTGTGCGATATATATATATATATATATAACTTTATACAACCATATTGAGATTACCCAAGTTTTTGTATTTTACAGAAATATAAATGTGAAAGAGAGAAAAAATGAAACATTCAAGAAAGAAAGAATGATAGATAGATGGATGGATGGATGGATGGACGGACAGACAGTCAGACAGACAGATAGACAGATAGAGAAAGAGAGAAAGAGAGAGAGAGAGAGAGAAAGAGAGAGCAAGTTACCCGTTAAACGCATAATTCGTTCTTTCATTGTTTGTTGATATTGATGAACTCTAAAAAAAAAAAAAACATTTTTTGATCTGTTAAATGTGTTTGCGTACATGCGCACACACACATACATACACACATAAACACATTCATACAAACAAACAAACACGTACACATATACAAACAAACACATACACACATCTACATTTTTTCGCAGTCTACATTTATGTACATCGATAGTATTATGAATTAACGATGAAAAAGTTTTGTCTTTATGGTTGGTTTTTTGCATATGTATCTTGATGTTTGTATATGTTTATGTATGTGTTTATCAATCTATACTAGTTAGACGTATTTTTCTTGTTCTTATTTGTTTGAAAAATAAAATACCTAATACAAATATTCCTAATTCTTGGCTTTGAAATATACATATATATATACACACACATACATAAATACATACACAGAGACACACATACACACACATACAAAGATACATAATACATACAAACACACATACATATCAATAAAATATATGATTAGAACGTTTTGTCACGCACAGCTTAATTCAAACATTCGCAATACTTCTCTGACACTTATGTGTTTGCATAACGGCACGTGTGAACGTTTTTGTGTATGTATGTATGTATGTATGTATGTATGTATGTATGTATGTATGTCTGTGTGTATGTATGTATGTTTGTTTGTATGTATGTCTGTGTGTTTGTTTGCAGGTTTGTTTGCATGATTCATAACTTCATAACGGCACGTGTATGAACGTGTGTACGTTTTGTGTATATATGTATGTGTGTGTGTGTATGTGTGTGTGTGTGTGTGTGTGTGTATGTATGTATGTATGTATGTATGTATGTATGTATGTATGTATGTATGTATGTATGTACGTAGGTATGTCTGTCTGTGTGTATGTTTGTTTGTTTGTTTGTATGATGCATAACGGAGCGTGTATGTTCGGATGAATGAATGAAGAAACGAGTTATTGAATGAATGAGTGAATGTTACAGTAAATGAATAAAAAGTTTCGTGATAAAATTAACAAATTTTGAAATAAATAAAAGAAATGGAAGAGAATAAGGCAGCCTATCTGGCTGGATTAGCATATAATCCACTAAATTGCAAGTCGTAGTATCGTCAGGGGAGTTGATCCTGATAGTGATGTTGTTGTTGTTGATGATGATGATGATGACGACGACGATGATGAAGATGATGATGGTGGTGATCATGATGATGGTGATGATGATCTTCATCGTCGTCGTTGTCATCATTATACCTAAGTTGCAGAGTATAAAGTTATCAACGAGCTAATTAGCCGTAAGGCGAAATGACGTCATCATTATTGACTTCGTCATCATCGTCATCATCATCATCGTCATCATCATCATCGTCATCACCATCATCGTCATCAGCATCATCATTGCTGATCTTACATCAGTATCATCATCATCGTCGTCTTCGTCACTGTCGTAATAATTTTCGATTTTTGCTTGGTTCAGTGATCTCTTAATTACCAGCATGTACTATCGTCGTCATCATCACCATTACCATCGTCATCATCATCATCATCATCATCACCATCACCATCGTCATCATCGTCATCCTCATCGTCACTATCATCAGTTATGTTATCATCAATGGATTGATCGATATATGGATGAATGAATGAGTGTATGAATGATTGAACGAACGAATGAACAAACGAACGAATTAACCAACTAATGTTTAAACGATCAAACGAACGAACGAACGAACCAGCTAATGAGTTAATGAACGAACGAACGAACGAATGAACCAGCTAATGTTTTAATGAACGAACGAACGAATGCCTTTAAAAGAAAGAATTAAGACAGGGAACGTATTGATTGATGGTTTAAAGGTGAACATTCAAGTATTATTGGAGGACCTCTTGGGATGGAGATGATGATGATGATGGTGATGATGATGGTGATGACGGTGAAGATGACGACGCTGCTTCTACTGCTTCTGCTGATGAGTTTGGTAATGATAATGATGGTGATGACGCTATGAAAATGAACAAATTTTGAATTGAAAAAAATATTTCCGCGACTAATAACTATGACTTCAATTCATTGATTTATTTATTAAAATAAATCGATTACCAGTTTTTATTAATTAATTAATTAATTAATTAACTAATTCATTCATTCATTCATTCATTCATTCATTCATTCATTCATTCATTCATTCATTCATTCATTCATTCATTCATTCATTCATTCATTCATCCATTCATTTAATCGTTTGCAATTTTCAACTTTTTTTCATCATCACCACCATCATCACCATCTTCATCACTATTATTGTTTTTATTGTTTTTGTCCTCATCATCATCATCATCATCGTCGTCGTCCCCAAAGAACTTTATTTTTCCAACTCCTCTCATATCTATGCTGTTGAATGTGCAGTCTAGTTCCACCTTGACTCCGTTCATTATCATCACGTGCCGTACTCCAATCTGAATAAATGAAGGAATGAAGGAGTGAGTGAGTGAGTGAATGAGTGAGTGAGTGAGTAAGTGAGTGAGTGAGTAAGTGAGTGAGTGAGTGAGTGAGTGAGTGAGTGAGTGAGTGAGTGAGTGAGTGAGTGAGTGAGTGAGTGAGTGCGTGAGTGAGTGAGTGAGTGAGTGAGTGAGTGAGTGAGTGAGTGAGTGAGTGAGTGAGTGAGAAAATGATTAAGTGAGAAAATGATTGAGTGAGAAAATGATTGAGTGTTTAAGTTAACGAACGAACGAACAAACGAATGAACGAACGAACAAATAAATAAATGAACTTTTTCACTCAGTCAATCAATTAAACTAAATTTATCGGCGTTCGATAAATCATCCGGCCCTCAACTAAGACGTCAATCAAATACGCCTAGGTATTAATCATTACATCAAATTATTCAGAGGACAAGGAAAATGGGTGGTACATAATTAGATGACGTAAACAAGTGTGGGCGTGCCTACGTTTGTGCTCTGTGATCTGATAGGTCAATCAAATAATGACTGGCATTCTCAAGTATGTGTGTGTATAATACATTGCAATGTCTGCGTGTTGGATTGTTGTATTGAATCGCCTGAAATCGTATTGTATTGTATATTGTATTGTGTGGTAATGTATGGTTTTTTGTATGGTATTGTATGGTGTATTGTATTGCATGGTCTCTTTTATTGTATTGTATATTGTATTGTATGTACTGCATCACATATATACAATAAATACATAATATTATATATATACCCGACCTTGACATTATTGGAGCTAAGGGTAATTCTGGTAGATCTGCTGTGCATTTGCGCTTTCGTTAGTGATGATGATGATTGTGATGATGACGATGATGATGACGATGATGATGACGATTGTGATGATGACGATGATGATTGTGGTGATGATAATGATGACGGGTGGATAGGGACGAGTAGGTTGAGCCCAGTTGACGTGAATGTCTGTTGGTGAATATTTTTGCTTTTATTGTTATGATTGTTATTATTATAATTATTATTATTATTATTATTAGTAGTAGTAGTAGTAGCAGTAAAAGTAGTAGTAGTAGTAGTAGTAGTAGTAGTGAGAATAATGAAATACGGCACGTGAGACTATTGAAAGCCTCTAAACGATGCAAAAAAGTGACGAGGACAAATAATCACTTTGAAAAATGACGTCATCGTCATCATCATCATCATCATCATCATCATCATGAGTTACTCACCACAATAAGTTCCCCACCATTTCGGCACATCTCTGAAAAGGCACTGGACCCCTGGATTAGCGGCTGTCCGTCCTGTATAAAAATCACCCTAATCTGTCCGGAAAAATATTTAGTGAAACTAAGTCGAATACAGATGATTAATGAA